TGATAATATAACACAACACTTTTAAAAGCTATAGTTACAGGGCAACATTTGACAGTATTGTCAAACTAAACCTATATATCATGCAAGGATAATTAAAGAGGTCTCCCATTCCATGAAAATACAATAACGTGATACAACTACTCAACAATAATTTGACACATTATTAGAAGTATGGGTGTTTCTAGCCATCTTTCCTGTCTCAAGATGATTTTAAAGGTATAAATCCGTGCACTCTTATATTAACATAATGCATTTAAAAAAATTAATTTTTGTAGGTACTAGTTTCAAGATTTAATTTTAAGAACATACTAAAAGATAAGGCCAAAGAAAAAAAGAAACATACTAAGAGAGAGTGGCCCATCGTGGGCCAGAAAGGTAGAAACACAGAGAAGGAGCACTAGATGATGATTCAGAATTCAACTCCCTTGGGTTGAAAATTATCAAATCAGTAGAGATTGAGACCCCATTTGTGTCCTGATTAGGGCAATCCAATAGTCAGAGTCAGTTCCCACGCCAAGCTAGAGAAGTAACCAAATAGAAAAGGTAGTAAATTCCGAATTGAAAGTTCTTCGCGTCTACAACAATGACCCAACACATATCATTCCATACCAAACGCCGACATTAAGAATAATTGAAATCCTAATCTTAATGAAACCCTAATCTTAATCTGTCCATTACAATCCATCCAACAATTAGGCCAATCACCTTAACAGGTATGAAGGCAACTTGACATGATATCCCATACCTTGGTAATCCCAATCCCCATTGTACAATTGTCATACTTAAAATGAAAATCCATCCAAGAATTACAAATAACGTAGTTAAAACTTTAAAAGAAGGATCAAATGTTTAAATTATCCTGCTGCTGTGGTGTCTCAACTACTTTGAGACTTGAAATTTAAGGTTAAAATTTAAAATTTAAGATATGTAAAAATGAGTCCAAAGATAAAAAGAAATATCCTTATTATATACCATATTAAAGCATATATAGTGAGAATAAATAAAATATATAGATATTTAAGATAACAGTTGAGATCATATATTGGGCTTATTTGAACTCAAGCCGACCTGTGTCTCAGAAATATGTACCAACAAAAATGTTTACTAATCCCCAAAAGCTTAAGCAAAGATTTAACTGCATTGAAGATTCCATGTGCGGATAAGTGGTTAACAACAACAATAGATGTGATGAATCATTTCTTGACATGTATTGTCGTTGGGATTAGAATAAGAAACAATATCCCAGTGGAAGATATAGCACAAATTTGTTTGTCTACTACATCAAAGACAAGGATTGAACAAATAGAACTTCTTTGGATTCCCCTTATCTTCTCCTCATTTCATCAAATTCATCAACTTCAAAAAAGTTAAACATATAAAGCCAAAAAGGCCAAATGTTTTGCTTCACAATCATAATCATTAAATCATTCAAATAGTCTAATATCTGTTTGAAGAGTACATGTTATGAATGTAATAAATATTATTTTTGTAATTAATTTACATAAAAATTATAAGAAATTGATATTTTATTTTAGATACTAGATGATTTTAATTAATTAATTAATTAAATTAAAATCAACATTTACTTTTTTCATGTAAATTAATTATAAAAAAATACATTAATTATCTTATAACAAGTATCCTAAAGGCATAAATTAAAAAAACCCAACTAATAATTATAAATTAAGAATAGCGGCTTACCATTTTTTTTAACAACAATTAATTTAATTACCAATTGCAAAATTTTGATTCCTAAATTTGTCTCTAAACTAAAATTTTATAACAAGAATAATAAAATGACCCCAACAATTGGAGAAAAAAAAAACCCTTTTCTTTATTGGTTTAGAGTGTTTTTGGACTAATTTTTACATATTAAGAAACTAAATTTACGTTAAATAATCTTAAATTTGTACCACTATATTAACCTAGTACCCTAAACTTAACATATACAAAGTAGTACTTATTTATCAATAAATTTAACTCTAAAAATTTACCCTTTGGTTTTCTTGTGAACCATTTAAATTTAAGGACGAGAAATTTTAGCACAGCAACGGCGCAGCTCAAAACCTTAGCTTTGTTAAAATAATGAGCGCACCAGCACCAACCAATTAGCCTCGAATGGCCGGTGCACAAAAACAAGCATGCTTGAAGTTTACTCTTTTGTCATTTTATTATTAATAATTTATTCTAAATTAATTATTATTTTTCTAAAAGTAGAGAAATAGTTTTTTCTTCTCTAAACCTTATTTTTATTTTTTAAAATTTAATTATTCACTTTATTAAAAAATTTTATCTTTATCTTTATTTTTCATTAAGGACAATAAAGATAATTTTATAAATTATTTATAAAATTTTTAATCTATTAAAAAGATCAAAAACCACAAAATGAGTAAAAAAAGATTAAAAAAAAAATACCCATGCATGTTTCCAAAACGATCACTTTTCTCAGATATTTCCTTTTTACTTTTAAATTCATTAAACAAGTACAAGAACACACCACATTTGGGAAAGAAAATGAATTAAACAAAATAAAAGGAGAAGCATCACTTATAAATTCCTACCACAAACACAGATATATATATATATGTTTATAGCAAATATTTTCATATTAATTTTAAGTAGTGATATAAGGGATCTGAATTTAAAATATTTTCTCTCTCTTCTTTGTGAAAGAAGAAATTACCATTGGTTTAGCATAGAAAATGCTACGAATTTTTTTTAAAAAAATTTTCACAGCCACTAATTATCAAATCACCATAATAATCATAATTAAATTTAAAAAAAGAAAAAAGAGGGAAAAAAAAGAAAAGAAAAAGAAATATGAACACCCTTTCTGCGTTTCTACTGAAAACTAGAACCTGGAGTGTAAATAGAAAGATCAGGCCACCCATTGCTACCGCCACCCCAGCAACTTGAATCCCCTGTTTGTTCGCCGCCCAAATAACTCTCGCCATTATTGCTCCCCTCTAACCCGGAATCCCGACCCAAACCCGGAATCAGATCACGCCCGGCATCCGTGTTCCCTCCGAAACCCCCCATTTGCACCGTTTTCAAATCCGACCCATCTGTGTTCAACCCTTCTAGAAGATTCCCGAAGTGCCCATTGGACGACAGCAGCGAGCTGAAGCTTCCGGTGACATCAGCCGACAACCCGTACAGCCGGGACGGGTCAGGATCCGCCAACGAATTCTGAAACCGCTGTGGTGCCGCCGCCGTTGAAGTGGAAACTGGTGTCGGCGCCTTAGAAGAGTCCGGCTGTTTTCGGATCCGGGCGAGTTCTGAATCGGGTGCAGAGCTGGCCTGACGTTTGGGGTTGCTGGAGCGCTTGCCGTTCTTGCGGCTGCTACCACCAACAGGGATATTCCTGAGAGCGCCACCTTTAGTCCAGTAGCGACGGCAGTTCTTGCAGAAATGACGCGGCTGGGAAAGGTTGTAGTTGTTGTAGTAGCAGAACTTAGTGTTGGTGGACTCGCAGCGCGGGCATTTCAGCTGCTCGTGCTCTGGAAACTGCGGCTTCATCTGATTATACATTGTCGGTTCCTGCATCTCAAAAACCCACTAATTGTTTTTAAAAGGATCTGGATAGTAAGCTTTTTGGTGGTTTCTAGAAGATTTGAAGCTGCAAAAAGGTGCCAAAAGAGAAGCTGAAGAGAAGAGAAAAAGGGTGGCAGAAAATTTTTAGACCCAGAAACAAGGATTCATGGATGATCAAGATCAGGCAAGTGTATCATTTTCCAAATAACTAGAAAAAAAGAAATGCAAGGAGTGAACTTTTAGCTTTGGTGTTGAGGCTTCAATGGTGAAAACCCAAACCCAATTCTTCTCTATAAAGCTTGGGTTGGTCAATGAAAGAAAGATGCCGAAATTAGAAAAGAAGAAATTTGAGTGTTGTCATGGAGAAAATCCTGAGGAGATGATATATTGTGTCTCCCGGACTCCGCGTGAGAGTAAACTCTTGCCCTCAAATAGAGAGAGAAGTTGGATTTTGGGTTTTGGCTCAAGCCTGTTTCCACGGCTCCTGTTAATTTTACATTAATATTATATTCTCGTGTAAAATTATAAATTTATAATTATAATAAAATATTAAATAAATATAAATAATATTATAAATAAAATTTTAAATTAAAAAATTAATTACATAATAATATATTATATTATAAATTTATAATATTATTAATATTATAATTATATTATTTTTATTAATTTTATTAATTTCTCATAAAAATAATGTGAAGTTCATCATTGTCCACACTTTCGAGAAGGCTTAATATCTGGGTGTTGTCTTTGTTATGAATGAGCTTTTTGTATGTTCAATCCAATCTTTTAATTTTTTTTTTTGTTGAAACTAGTTAACGAATAATTTTAATTTATATTATATTAGATTGTAAAAAAAATTATTGATTATAATAGTCCCTTCATTTCGCGGTCATAATATAATTTGTGGTTAATTTTGTATAAATTATTCAAAATATTTATGAAAAAATTTTAAAAATTAAAATATTAAATACTTTTAATAAACTAATGTACATGAAATTTTGCCTTTCTCTATATGAAAGATGTTCACTCGTTTTTATAAGAGTAATATTTTCTTTAAAATAAAACATAAATTTTGAGAAACTAAAAGAGCATATTTATAACTTTAATTCATTACTTTATTCAACAAGTTTACCTTATCTCGAGAGATTTGTCCCAAAGACCTTTCTTGATCCATCGAATCACAATACAAATATTTAAAGTTTCTGGAGACAACAAATGTCAAAATGATCATGGCATGTCTTCATTAACCTTAAACAAATTATTAAGCCTAATCTATAGTTACCCATTTTGATAACAAAAAATAAAATATCTTTTAGATCCAAGAAAATCCCACTCCCCCGCATAATACCATCAAGGAGAGAATGTTTATGTCAAAACAAAAATGAAAAAAAATAAAAAAAAATTATTAAAAAGATTTATTCAACTTAAAGGGTCTAGCTCAAAGCATAAATCATTTTTAATGTTATTTAATTAAGTATTAATAAAAATTTTGAGTCCAGTAAAAAAAATTTAAGAGAAGGAAAAGAAAATTTTAAGAGAAGGGAAAGGTTAAATTTTTTTATATAACCCATTAACCATAAATACAAAAAATTAACTGTTAATCAAGTTATTAATGAGATTTAAGCCACAATGTTTAGTTGAGCCAAACTTGAAAGGAAAGAGCTAAAGCCGCTAAGCCAGCTATACAGCTTGCGTGCAAACAAAGCAAGTGACGGGGGAACATCATTGAGATTTCCTGGAGTAAATCTCAGCCGTTTATTCTCCTGCGATCACATAAGGACGGTAACGAATGTCAAACCTCGTAGCAATTTAGCGTTAAGTTGCCGCCAACCCCTCCATCGGGGCGTCACCACCACGTGGCAGAACCCCACGGTCGGTATAAGGACTATGGTAGGTGTATTACACTACTTTTTTTGAAAATGTGTATTACACTACTGTGGTTAGGAAAATGGGAGGGAGGGAGGGAGGGAGGGAGTAAATTTTTTTGAT